TAAAGTGTTTATAGAATTAATATTATAAATTTATAGATGCAATTTAATGATTTGTGTATTGGTTAGTAAATTGATCCTTTTGAAAAATAATAAAATTTTTTTTTAATAGAGTAGTCTTAAAAACATCAAGTTTATTTATTACATAGTCACAAATTTTTAAAAATAATATAAAGCATTTTGTTTTATTTAATCATTTGTTGTAAACAAAAAATCTAATCATACATTATATTTTTTTAGTTGGTAATTCCTTAATTTAAAACATTAATTCAATTCAACAGTTAAAATTATTAAAGTTTTAATAGTCTTTATAATTGACATCAACTTATAAGTGATAGCATTTTTGGGGTTATTAATAAGATTTATATTTATTATTTAAGAAATCTTGATATTATTTAATATATTATTATAGATTTATTTTTCAGAGCTAAATTTAAAATTATTTTTCCCATCTAAGTTGATCTAAAATTTGATTACTTATGATATTATTGGTTATTAAATCTGAATTCTGATTAACCTTATTTACTTAAGATCTAAAACATGATTCTATTAATCATAAGTATTATGTTTTTTTTTTAAATATATAGATCATCTCAAAGATTCTAGAGCAAAAGGTATAATTCATTAATCTTTTCTAATTTTAACACAAGCTGCTAAATATGATAGATTATAACGAAAGCTGATCAGTAATATCAAATATATCCTAATGAATTTTCAAATTATTTAATTTTTGAACTATAATCTAATTTTATTTTAGATAACTTGTAATAATTAGTAAATTGTATTAATTAACCATTTATTTAATCTATCCCTATCAATATATAAATATTCGTTATTCATTTAAAGAAAAGATCAATTCTTTTCCTTCTGTTGAGACTGATCAGATTCTTCCCCTTGTATAGATTGGTCAAGAACTTTTAGAGATTGGCATATTAACATATAAATATCAACATTAATAAGAGTGATCATTTTATAGCTTTGAAAAACTCTTATTTACAACAAGTGTTTTTCAGAAGTATGAAATGATCACTCTTATTAATCTTGGTTTTATATGTTAAAATGCCAATCTCTAAAAATTTTTGACCAGAATATCTTGAGGGTTAGGCCAGCAGTTTCAAGAGTATTGGTCATGGATATCATGGGAGGAGCCTGAAGGTATATCTTCTTATGCTTCTGTTACATATGAATGGTGCATGACTTCAGGTTTTTATACTCTTTTGACACTGTAAACACCTCAAAATGTACCATTAAGGAACCAGATAACGATGGGCCTCTTGCTATGCTCTAAGATGGGGATTTTTCAGTTTCCTTAATAAATTTATTAACCTAAGGATCAGATTTATTTTAATTAGGAGTTAGTAACTGCATCTCTTAATTACAAAAGATTTGATTTTTTAATTAAGTTAATAAGTAGCTTATCAAAACTATTTTCTGATTGTATATTTAGAGGCTAATTATCTTTAAATATTTAATCAGTTAAGAAAAGGGAGTATCATAAAATACATTTAGACTTTCTCTTACTTTTAAAAAATGCCATATCTAAGACTATTAATATGCAACAGCTTTAAGTCACCCTTTTAAATTATACTAATTCCAACTCCTATAATAGTTCTCCTTCTTAATCTGAGCCCAAAAAATATTGTTGGTTTTATGAGTTTGTATCAAAAATATGCTTAAAATAATTAATATTTTTCTCATCCTCAAATGATAGTACTTTATAAGGAATCTGACATCATAACTTTGTATTTAGTACTTCTACAATCTTAATTTGTTAATTAATTAGTTTTATTTTTATTTTTGAACCCTAATCATTTAATGACAAT